CTTCATTATCATCACAAGCATCTTCCAGTTCTTCATTCTCTTTCTCTATTTCTAGCCATCCATGAGGCTGCCTCCACATATAGCTATTACATAGCTCTTTGTTGTAAAAGGATGTATTTGGTTGGTCCGGTGGTGTGCTGGGTTGGCTATCAGCCTTGGCGGTTGGGGTATTGTCAATTTGCTTACCACCTTCACCTTAACCTTCCCTGTATTTATGAGTTTTTCTATCGCACTTTAGCGTTTCCATTTTCTTTAGTTCCCTTAACCTCATCCTCTTCACCCAATTTATCTTTCTCATTTCTTTTATGATATTCCTCATCCTCTTCTACCTATTGTATGTCATTAGTCTTATGCTCTTCCACTACCTTTTTCACACCATCAAAATTGGTCTTCTTCTTGATTTTGAGGGTCAGTGTCTCTTTCTTCTCTATTACCTCATCTAAACATTTCTTCGAATTCTGATATGCTAGCTTTCTCTAAAGCTCCAAGATTTCCTCCCATGATTTCTACTCCCTCAAAGATCTGAATCAGAAACACCCCTAAATCTGCATAGAGGCATGTTCTCTCTTAGGTGCTCACCATAAGGAGATTCGCATAGGGCTGTTTCCAAGAAAAGTCCACAATCTAACACTAGGGGCTTCAAAGAGAGATCCTCAAGGGCGGTTTCTCTTAGGCTCTTATCACATAGAGATCTATATAGGGCTGTTTTCAAGGGAAGTCCCTACCAATCATCCTCATTATAATACTGGGCACTTCCAAGAGAGATCCGCAATAGGGTTGTCTTTCTTAAGCTCTCACCACAAGAAGATCCACATAGGACTATTTTCAAGGGTAAGACAAACCACTTGAAGATCCTCATGGGGCTGTTTCCAGGTCAAGTCCTTACTGGCATGATGGCTTCAAGAGGGATCCTCAAGGGTTGTTCCTCTTAGGTAATAACCACAAGGAGTTCCCCTTAGGGCTGGCTCCAAGGAAGACCACACCTCAATCATACTAGTTACATTCATTGGACTGATCCAAGGACTATTCAATCCTTTATCATTTATCAGCCATTACCTCATCTCTCAACCATCAAGATAACCTCAATCCAAATCCTCAACCATTATCTCATTCATTATTTTTACCCCTATCAACCATTTCTCAATTACTCTTAAATAATCAAACATCAATCAATGATCATTAATCAATCATAACATTTATCAATGTATGAATCAATGCATGAGCATACATTTACTATCATCATTACATATCACACCTCATAAATCATTCCTCCTCAACGGAGTATGGTGGAACATTCAAGCGGATTAACTCCAAGGTCCAAAGGTTTACGTTACACTTAAACTTTCCTCAAAGCTTTCCTTTCCTCAATTGAACATAACCACAAGGATTGGTCACTCCACGTAGTCCACTTGCCTCAATCCTAGCAATACAAGGGACACCATCAAATATACAACCAACCAAGGCTAACAATGCAAGAAAATCCTCAATTTCTCCAAATATCAAAGTATACTAAAATGACAATATAAACTCATTTCTACTGTTTATTTATAATTCCTAACAATATTTCCAAAGGAATTTAGCCTCAATCTTACTCAAACTCTTAAAACTTACAAAAAACACTATTCATTTTCTTCAACCTCTAGAAAACTCCATGAAAACTAGGCTGGAGAAATGGAAACTTACCACAATAGGTCACACAACCAAGGAATAGAGATCTTCTAAGCTCCCATGGATGAAAATGCCCCCAAACTCCTCCAATCTACAAAGGGGTCGAAATATTTGAAAGGGAAGATCTCTCTCCACAAAGCCTCCTACTCAAAACCAAGCTTGGATTCACAATGAGGGGAAGATTCATAAGTGGTTTTGGCTTTGAAATGAGTTGATTTGGTTGGGAAATAAGGAAATTAGGGTTTTCTCCCTAAAATAGTTCTCTCTTCCTCTCTCTCACTCAGTTCAGACATACGAAGAAGAAGAAGAAGAAGTGGGAAGGCTCTTTGGTTTTTCAACTTAACATAGGTTAAGTTATTTCAACCCATGGATGAAAATGCCCCCAAACTCCTCCAATCTTCAAAGGGGTCGAAATATTTGAAAGGGAAGATCTCTCTCCACAAAGCTTCCCACTCAAAATCAAGCTTGGATTCTCAATGAGGGGAAGATTCATAAGTGGTTTTGGCTTTGAAATGAGTTGATTTGATTGGAAAATAAGGAAGTTAGGGTTTGCTCCCCAAAATAGTTCTCTCTTCCTCTCTCTCACTCGGTTCAGACGCACGAAGAAGAAGAAGAAGAAGTGGGAAGGCTCTTTGGTTTTTCAACTTAACATATGTTAAGTTATTTCAACTGAGTAAAGGTTTATCTATCTACTCATCTCAATTCACTACCAAACTTTACCGAATGAACTAGAATATTTTTCTAGTAATATTTTTATCTTCATTTTTACATTTTGGATAATTTTGTCTACACATAATTTTATCCCATAATTCTCACTAACTGCTCATTTTACCTCAAAAGTGACCCCAATTTATTTAATTAGGCCTTTTACTTTATTCAACCCACTTATACATGTTTAATTATTTAACTACATTTAACTAATTTAAATAATTAAGTTAGGGGTATTATAACCTACATCAAGGTGCTAAGCAATGAAGTACATGCATCAACGAACACATCTATATTCATTAACACATAGGCAAATCCGTACACAAGGCATGAACTTACCAACTTAAGTAGACTAATCAAGTTCCATGGATTCCATTAAGGCTTGATCAATCAAGGTAGGTCTAGTTGCTTCCAACATAGAAGCACCATGAACACAATCAATACAAACTATTCATGCCACATTACTTGAAGTTCAAGAAATCTCTAAACTTAGGCATAAATCTCGAAATTTATGGATGATGGCCAAATGGCAATTTTAATTCATTTCCACTAATTAAATCACCGTCCAAACATTTTTCCCATAATAGCATAAGCCTCATTCAAACTCTAAACAACCCCACCAATCATACATATTCATGAAAAAAACCTAAAATCAAATTTTCACATAACCCAAAGGAAACTAGAATTTCTTAACATGAACTTACCTAGAATCACCCAAGGAATGGATTTCAAGCCTCCAAATAGATCAAACCACTCACCAAGCCCTCCAATCACAAGTGAGTCACCACTTTCACCATGGTTTTTCTCCCCACTCATTTGATTTCAAGGAATTCTAGATTATAGGTTGTGTTTGTCTTGCAGTTCTAAGAACTTTTCATTCCTACACCTAAGCATTTCATGGAGTATCAAGGACGATAGGTTTTCAAGCTTTCCACCTATGGCTTCTCGGTTTCCTCTCGGCCTCCACAATAGTGATGAAGCAATTTGTGAAATTTTACTAAGTTAGATATTCAACTTTAGTTAAATAACTTTCAACTAGGCAAAAATTTATCTATCTCGTTAACTCTCTTCTAAATTGGTTGTATTGGCTCTGAATATTTTTACAATAATATTTCTCAACTTATTTTTAAGTTTAGGATAATTTTGCCTACATGTATTTTTATCCCAAAACTATCATTATTTGCACTTTTTGCCAAACAATGACTTAATTTAATTTAGTTAAGGAAAAAGTATTTGTCCTTGATATATAATTGTATCATTTTAAGTGAGAGAAAGACACAACCTAATTTTTTTTATTTAAAATTTAAATTTAAAAAAATTACTCACTTTCTCTCCCATGATTTTCATTGCTTGTGTCTTTGGGCCTGTTTGGTGTGATGTATAGGCTTGATAGTATAAGCTTATACTATACGTTATGACATGTTCAGTTGTTTGGTGTGATCATCGTATAGTATAAGCTTATACAGCAGAACCCCTTAATACATCAAAATGATGTATAACTTAATCAAGCCAAAGGAGGTGGGATTAGGCCTGATAAGGGGTTAATGTATTAATATTGCTTACAAGTACAATTCCCAAGAATTAATATATCATTTTATTATTAATATATTAAAATAAATTTTTTTAATATATTAATTTTTAAAATATTGGAGGATATTATCTTATATATTACCATACCAAACGCTGGATAGTATAAAAATTTAATCAGATCTTATACTATCAGGTTTTATACTATCAGACCTTATCATATACTATACACCAAACATGCCCTTTATCTCATTTAAGATTGACATAACTTTATGTACTTTGTAATGACAAACATTAAACCCTTTAATTAAACCTTTTTACTTAACTCAATTATGTATGATTAAATTCTTAATCACATATAATCTCATAATTACACGGGTTAGGATTATTATAAACCCTCTCACGAGTCACGCTCACTCTCAAGAATCTCATAACCTTTCCAAAGAGATACCCCAAATTCCCAATTCTACAACGTAATTCATGCGCGAGAAAACCCACCCAAAATCATCCCATCTCTCTCCTTTAACTAATTGCAATGAGCCCAACATACACTCTCAAAGTTCTATAATATTCCGTTCTTGCTTTCTTTGAATTTTTATCTCTATCTTTCCGGTTGAATCCTATTAAAGAGAGGAAAAGAGGAAGAAAAGCGTAGGAGCCATTTATATAGAAATATTGGTACTACTGGTATAACTTATCACAGATCTAACACACAAGTAGAATTTTGAGTTATTCTCATTACGATTTAGAATGCAGATATCTACATCACATCTTGATAGTTGATATTAATGTTCAACTTTATCTTTTTCTTGTATGGTTTCCGGATGGCTTCGACTCTCTGCGTGAGCTCTATCCTTGAATTTGTTTGTAAATTGACAGTACTAATCTAACTGCGTGGCTAATATTATGAAATTTGAACCTTACGATAAAATTAAAACTTATGGAAATTCAAACATTTTAGTAAAATAAAACTTACATCCTTTTAGTTGTTATTACTGCTTTCTGCATAAGCCCCATTGTCTAAATTTCAGTAACCAAAGGTCGAATATGTCAAATTATCTTGATACAATTTTTTTCTTCTGCTCAACTTCTAATTCACCTCTATACGTCCGATTTATTGCTCTTATACATTTTTCACAACATTAGGTTGTTCTACAAATATCTGGTCTAGATATCAAGTACCCTTATTGAATAAACAGGTTTATGTCCCTAAAATCTCACTGCTCTATTACTGAAGAGTGTTTCAAGGAATGCATTTAAAGCAGATATAAGGCAACAAGGCTAAAATAAATCTATTAAGTACATACTTTTGGTTTTTTTCCCAATATTTTCCCTGAAAAAAGTAATAGGTCTAAAAGAACTGGAGCTGACAGTTTCTTAACTCTCATTTTCTTGATTATTAAGTTACCCTCTGATAGGAAACATGCATAAGCAATCACAGGCTTGACTTGAGATCCCAACATCAATGATTCATCCCTTGCCAACTAAGTTAAAAGCCATCAACCCAAGATACCTGTGCTGTCACACCAATCCTCTTCTCCAGTTTGTACCACAAAAAAAATTATCATGTGAAACACGGTGCAAGTAACTTGAATTAATCACATACATAACCTGTTCTTCATATCATGTAACACACGCTCATAAAATATAGGACAAAAGCTTAGTCAGGATCCATGTGTAGAATACTGATAGCATAGCACCAACAGGTATAGTAACTGCCCATGAAGCCACAATCTCCTTCACAGTTTCTGATCTAACACTGTTAAGTCCCCTTGCAAACCCCACTCCCATTACAGCACCTACTAGAGTATGTGTTCCTGAGATTGGTAGCCCCAGCTTTGAAGCAAACAGAACCACAGAGGCAGCAGCAAACTCAGCTGCAAATCCTCTAGTTGGTGTCAGTTCTGTTATTTTCTTTCCAATTGTAGCTATCACTCTATAACCCCACATCATTAGTCCTGCAACAATTCCAAATCCACCCCAAGCAAGAACATCAGTTGGAATGACAATCTCAGCTCCTCTAGCACCGCCTTGAAGAATAGCGAGTGCACCCGCCAATGGACCTATGGCGTTGGAGACATCATTTCCACCATGAGCAAATGACATGAAACATGCTGAGAGAACCTGCATGTACCCAAAGACTCCATAAACTATTTCCAGTTGGGTACCCTTTGGACCTGCAACATCAGAGAGGAATCCTATATTTTGGTGGGGAGTATCTTCTTTTGGTTCCGGCTGTTGAGTATTTGGCTCGACAAGAAGATGTCCAAGCTCTTTTTTGATGATTCTGTAAACCAGAAAAGCACCAGCAGTTCCACAGGCTAAAGCCTGGGCCAGGGCTAAAGGAAAGCTCTTGCTAAGTGGAAAAGCAGCAAAAGAAATCCCAGTTACACCCACAAATACAGCAATTGGTGCTGCAGTAGCTGCTGCTTGTCCCGGGTTAGGTGCACTGTACACAAACTGGATGGGGAAAAGGTTAGTGTTTGTATCAGCAGGAATTTAACATATCCTGTTTAAGTGTTAACAATTTTAAACCATGAAAATAGCAGTTTCCATAAAGTCTTCAAACCAAAAATGTTTGAAAATAGGATTTTCCATAAAGTCTCTAATGATAACTAAAGTTTTTTATTTTTTTTTGAGATTTCTCCACCAATTTATCAATTATCGACTAATCCAATCGAGCCGGGCAGTACCACAAGGGTGACAAAGCTCTCTCTACCAAGATTTTAATACAACTACATACTTAGGACTCGAACTCAAGACCACTGGTTAAGCTGAAACAACCCTTTGTCAGTTGATCTACGTGCTTGCCGGTTCCAAATCCAAACTATTATAATATGTCAAGTTATTCTATACCCCTTATGATTCATTGCAAAATTTGAGTAGGAAAATAATTTGATTTTAAATTTGATGTGTAAAATAGTTTGACATTGTCATCCAATGATGTATTGCCACATCATTTAATGAGTTCGACAACTCTTGTGCTAGTAAACTCATTAAATGATTTGAGTACATATCATTAGATGACAGTGCAAAACTTTTTTTTACTGACAGTGCATATAAATTAAATTCAAATAATTTTGGATTAAAAAGCCTTTCTTTGTGCATTTTATTGACTTTTCCTTGACTACCTATGAAACCAAATCAGCAAAAGTTAAAACCCTGAACATTTTCTGTATTACAGTAAGCATGTTGGATTAAAGAGCTTACCCTTCGGATGCATTTGTAGACTAGAAATGACACAGCTGCTCCCATTAGTGGTGAGATAATCCATGATGAAATCACCCTAGCCAGTGAACCCCAGAAAACAGCTCCAGCACCTCCATAAACTAGACCAAACCCCACCATTGCCCCCACTATACAATGGGTAGTAGATACTGGCCAACCATAATATGATGCAAACTGCATAACACAAAGATATTAGATAGCTAATGAATTTCATTGGATTGTTTGAAGATATAACTAAAGCATATTTCTTAAAAAAAAAAATCATTTGAACAAAACTTCAAGCAAATGATTATTAGTTCCTTGGTGACACAAAAAGGTCAATTACCAGGTCCAGATAGTACTATACATGTTGCTTCAAGGAAGCAATGAGCATCTGACACCAGTAGGTTCAAAGTCTGATCAGTAAAGAAACAAGACATGTCTTTGCTGATACAAATCTGAGGTCAATGTTCCATTTTCCTCAATCATTCAAAATGACACAATTTTTGGACACAAATCACAAAGAAATTCAGTTTCAGAAGTATATATTTATCAATTTTTATTATGCTTCTTTCATGTCCCTTTACTTTTCAATTACAACAACACAACCAAGATACGTTGAAGGGGAAAGAATATAATCTCAGCAGCTCCTGACATACATGAAAAAAAATTGCATTTCTACGTGTACCCTCATATATAGCATAACAGGATACTTTAAAACTGTACATTAAGGAACACACCTATTTCTTAAAGATAACATGTTTCCAATGGCAAAAAAGGTAAAAAAGAAAAGAAAAAAAAGTGATAAATTGGCTTTGAAATTTTAGCCAGAAATTCAAAGTTCCTAACTTCTAGATTCCTTTTAAATACCAGTTCTCTTAATATCCTCATAGGATCATTCCAATTTCACAAAGCCAGATTGAGTATTTTATTTTAAGTGATAAATTGAAATTGGCTTTTTTATTCTAATTCCTGATGGAGATTTTTATTTTAATGACCTCACTTGAAAACTTTAGCAGATGAACTCAGAAACAGTGACATATAAACCAAAATAGTTAGTTACCTGTAACCAAGTACCAGCAGCAGCAAGTGAAGATAGCAACCCAGCAAAGAGCAGAGAATCCTTCCCCTGAAACACATTAGCTACAAGGATTCCCTTCTGCATTGTGCTAGTCACGTTAGTTCCCATCAACAATGCTCCTGAAAATTCCAACACTGCTGCTGTTAACACTGCTTGCCTAAGTGTCAAGGCACCAGATCCCACTGAAGTTCCCATAGCATTTGCAACATCATTGGCTCCAATGTTCCAAGCCATGTAGAACCCAAATAACAGTGTTGCATAAGATAACAACTTGGTCTTCAAGGCCAAACCCTGTCCCAAAGATGTCATGAAGAAAGGAAAAGTGAGAGCAGCCATTGCAATGCATATAGATATAGCAGAAGCAGTGGTTGAAGATATGTTGAAGGCTTGTTCAATTCCAGGTAAGTCATCATCAGTCTCTTTACTCTTTGTTTGTGTTGCATGCTGATGATGATGCCCATTTAGCTGAATTTCCTCTTTCTGCTCCTCTTCCCCTTCAGCTTCTGCAAAAGATGATAAAGTGGCAAAAGGGTGTGAAAGTTTGCAGTTTTTAAGCCTGAGAATGGAAAAAGAAGCCTTTTTTATTGGTTGTGATAGAGTAATAGGCTTGACATGATGAAAACACTCTCTAAGAAAGAAAGGAGAAGTGTTTTTGGAGAGGCAGATATAAGAATTTCTAAGGGAAGTTGAAGAGAAGCGACAAGAGGGATTCATGTCTTATAGAGAAAAATGGTGAAAAAAAAATGAGGGAGAAAAGGGTGTGTGTGTTTTTATTTTTGGAATCTGTATGGGATTATTCATGAAGATTCTTGGCCATGGAGAAAGTTAAAAAGTAGTAGGTGGTGGTGGTAGAGAAAAAGAGAAGGGAATGTGGAAGACAGCATTTTGATGGGTAGATTTTTGTTAGGGGGAAGCTGTGAGGTAAGAGTGGATTTGGATGCTTGCTTTGGTTGATGGAAATGAGTGGTGGTGATTATAGTTCTTGAGGTGTTGTTGCTCCTCACCAACCATATATTCGTAGCTAGAAAATAATTCAGAAATGTTGTGGTTGAAGTTGGGAAAGAAAGAAAGAAATTCGTTCAGATATACCATTATCCAAAGCTAAAGAGAATATGACATGTCGTGTTTATTGGACTTACACGTGGAAGATTGGCTTGCCTTGTTGCTCTCGTGTTTCTTTCTTTTGTTGTCTGTCTGTGGTGTCGTCACCCTCCTTAAAGATTTAAATTTTGCTTTTATTTTAAGGGATATATTTATCATAAAATAATTATTGTATGCAACAGAAATAAAATAGTTTGAATCATTATTTTATTTTTAAATAATAGACTCCACTATCTTATCTTTATTGCATAAGATAATTATCTTATGCTAGAAGTGGCAATAGGGGTTGAGCCTGGGGCGGGTAGGGTTGAGGTTTTAAACCCACCAACCCACTTCAACTTGTCTCGTCTAAAAGTGGGTCAAAACAGATTCAATCTGTCGCGAGACGAGTTGACCCACCGAGTTATTATTATTATTATTTTACAATTAAGTAGTATTTCATTTGTCACTAAATTTTGTGATATCCAACTCTTTTTTATCTTAGTACTCCTTAGAAAAAATAAAGAATAAAAATTTTATTTATGACAAATGTTATCTATATATAGAGACAAATGAGTTCCTAAAGAATGCTTAACTGAATATTAGTATCATTTAAGATTGAGACTGAAAAAATTAAGAGAAGTGTCAAATAAAATAAAATAATTTTGGAAAAATTCATAAAATATAATTTTATTTTGAATTTTAACTAATTTTTTTAATTAGTGGGTTGACCCATCAACCCATCATAAAACAGGGTGGATTTATTTTTTTAACCCATATTTAATGGTGGATCAACCCACCCCGCCCTATTTTTGACAGGTTGATGGCGGGGCGGGGCGGGCCAACCCATATCTTATGCAATATAAAATAATTATTTCTCTTATTTTAATTGTTAAAGAAATGTTTAGGATAGCTGGATAGGTATCTAGTTGAGAATTCATCATACTTTGCAAGAACATTTTCGAGTTTTGTTAAAATTTAAAATGTATAAATTAAAAGAATTTTTTTAGAAATTATTAAAAAGATATATATTAAACAAGGGGTTCTATAAATTCAAGAGAGGGAATCTACATGCTTCTTTACCTTCAAGAAATCAATGAACAAGTTTAATAACCCTCAAAAAAGATAAAACCAATAAAAAAATAGAGGTATAATTGTTGTAGAAAAGTGTGACCAAACAAGTACCACAAAAGTTATTAGTAGGAAGAATTTGCGTTCAAAGAATCCTTTTAAAAGTGGACTTTATTAATCTCATGTCACAAGAGTGTAATTCTCTCCTATCATGAATGCAATTATGGGTAAGACCCACTCACTTATAAAATTTTTTGAGCTAAACGAAAATCAATGAGTGTGTAAGAAAGAGAGCTACTCTCTAACAACATAAGAGTAGTTTTTCCTTTAAAAATAATAATAAATAATTTATGTATAAATACAATCAGATTAAACTCACAATATTAATGTAAGTAAGAATAATGCAAAATTGGTCTAAGCTCAACTAAAACTTCTTAAGGAGATTTGTCCTCTCTATCGATGCCCAAGTATATCGGATAATCGACTCCCAAGATAGAATAGATTTCATCTCTTGAATGACAACACTTCCAATCAAGAGCTCTGTCGAATACAACCAAATGCTTATAGAATTGCACTGACTTATGTATGCAAAAATAAAATGATAGCATGCAGAGTGGGAATAAAAAAATATAGTGTGTTTTCAAAAGTCCTTAGTTTTATTCATAAAATGGAAATTTGCCTTTGCCATGATTCACACATCTAATGGAGCGATGTCAGCAAAGCATTGTGCCAATATGACACATAAGGCAAAATGCACGCAATGTTTTAGTTAGAAAATTTGAACGTTGGAGGAAAAATATATCGAGGGCATTTTTAAAATACTTGGGTAATTTGGATAATAAAAAAATTATGAAAATATATTTTCAAGTAGGGCTAGAGTGGTGGCGCGCGCACATATGGTTGACTAAGGGTCACCTAAGTCTTCCCCCTTCATAGAAATAGGATGTCCTAAGGGTGAGGTTGAGCCTTATATGCTTTGTTTCACCTCTCTCTTTGTCCAATGTGTGACTTTTTTCCTCCACACCCTTTTACATTCCTTTTTCTTCTTCTTTTCCAACCTACTTATTCATAACAATATGAATTCTACACAAGCATTCTTACAATTTGCAACAGGAATAAGAAGTTCAACGGTAACATTGACTATAGCACGATAGATAAAGTCTGAAATACGAAATAATCGTTTTTCAAAATCAACAAAATAACAATGAAAATAGAAATTGAGATACACATTATAGGATTTAAAGTTAAACATAATCATTCCAATACAGTCAGTACAAATTGACTACAAAATGTAAAGGTGTCTAGTGGTGTGTGAGCCTACAATTAAAGATTGAAATACATATATTTCAAAATAAGGAGGGATTACAGCTAGATTAACTTCTATATTAGCATAATACAACAAAAAGATGTTAGAAGTCTAATCCATCCAAAATGTCAATCTTATACTACTAGCAGGGGTGGGCAAAAAATTCAAAAGAACTGAATTGAATTGAAAATTACACCAAAAGACCTGCTGTTTTAACCAATTCTTAAATCCAAACTAGTTATTTTTTAACTTTCAAAAGGTTTGGTTTTCATCCGGTACAAAACTAATTTAAAAGGGTTGAGAATCGAATTGACCCCTTTATAAAATAAATTACACTCAATCATTCACTCACATTACATCTCAAACCTTAACTCCTCCTCCATTTAGACTCTTCTAATTACATACTCATAAACTCCAATGCCTATTCTATTCAAACTCCTTGAATCCTAACTTAGATTACTTATAGTAAATCACGTTGCCAATTTGTTAACATGGTTCAGGATTCATTGTTAGATTCATGCTTGTGGTTAGTGATATCACTAGAAATTGTTCAATATTCGCTATTTATTCTTACTTCTTTGCGATTTGTTCTTCCTTGTTAACGATACTACCAAATAATTCTACGTTGAGAACTTACCAACGCTTCAAGTATTCTAGAATTCCATTGTTGAATATACATGTGCATTTTATTTATTTATTTTGGATCGAAATTTGTATTCTAAATTTGCAAGTTTGATTTCGTAAAGGGTTTGTTCTGGACTTCTATAGTTGCATGTAGTTTTATGGTTTTTGATGTGGTGTTTTTTTCCTTCAAGTTTTAAACTTGTTTTTCCTTCTTTTTCTTCTTTAGGTTGAAGTCTTATTTCTTGAATTTGGAGCTTCATTCTGCAATATGTTTGTTTCAAATTTCTCTAGTTGTATTTGTTCAATTTAAATTTGGTTCTGAATTAGAATGTTGTTTTACTATTTTTCCCTTTACTTTGATGTTCATAATAAAGTGTGCATTTTTGGGGTGTTCGAAGCTGATATAGAGACCATGCCTATGAGATACAACAATGAAGGTAAAATATATTTTTTTTTGTCTTTTTTGTGTGTATTCATGTCTCCATTTGAGCATCGTTTGTGTTATTGGATTTGGGTTAATGTTAGATTGAATCGACAAATTACATACTCTTTCAAATCTCAAATTGATGTATAAACTGGGAGTTGTATTTCTAAAATGTGAGAGCTTGCTCTGTCATTATTGTGATGTAGGTACAATTATTAAACTCAAAGCTTTTAGATATTGATGGCAAAATGTATTTCGGTCTCTCTTCTTCTTTTAGGTTGTGGATCGATAAATTTTAGACAATTTACACTTAAGGTTCTCAGATTGAAAAGTACTTTGTTTTAATTTTCTTATCAATAATTAGTGTAGATAGAATATATTTTTTGATGATAACAAAAGAGACAATAAAAAAGAGAAGAACTTTGATTAAAAGCAAAAAATAATCAACCATATATGAAGACTGAAGATATATAATGGAGCCACACAAGAATAATATTGACATATCAAAATGTTATGAACATGGATGAGCCTTGAAGAAAGTTAACAATGGATCAAGAGAAACAAGGAAGAATTTGAATGGCAAAACTAATATTAGAGACAACAAAACATGGACAATCTTCAAGAGAAGTTTAATGTCATAAGCCATGGTAAAATAGTGTATATATCAAGTCCAACAAAATATCATAACATTGACAAATTCAACAAGTTGAGTATCAAGTTCAAAAGATGATTCAAGATCCAAATATCAATGCATAAAGCTAAGTGACTGTATGATTTTGGTAGTTTATGTATCATAGGTTGTTTAAACATATTGATAATCATTTTATATATGAAAATTTGGTAGAAATGATAAATTAGAAACATGAAGAAGATATTTTGAAAAGTTTTGCAATACTCAATTCTAGTGCTATAGCTTGATCTTCTGGTGTGAATTTGAATCCTTGTTAATCTGATCTTCCTAGCTGTTTAGGACGATGATAGGGCGTTATCTTCATTTAATATGAGTAATTATCTTCAAAACAACCTTATCCCATGCTTATCTTGAGAAAAATTTTTGATGCACTTGATTTGAATTCAAAATCTGCACTTATCAGCTTATCCATTCTGTTACAACAAGAGGGATTAATTCCAATATTCAAAAGTTTACCTTTTATAGATTTAATTCCAAAGCCTTTCTCCTCTAATGCCAAGAGCCAACAATTTAAGTTACACTCCCATAACCTCAACCAATGTGTGAGCTTATTCAATACCACATATAACACAAATTTATAACCAAAATACTAATAATTCTCTAAGATCTAATTTAGGGAACTTATCCTAAATTCTTATAATTTCAAGGTTCAAACCCTAACCCAATAATGGGTCAAAGGAAGGTTTTTCCAATCAACTAAACACAAGAGTCAATATTCCTACACTATATATATCAGAATCAACTTTCAATTTCAAGATTTAAACCACCCCTACCATTTTCCCCGATATTTTGAAACCCTAACAACATAAAACCCATCAAGTGACTAAAGGAAGTCATGATTTCTTACTTTCAACCCCTCGAGTATGAAAGGATAAAGCTCTAAGCTTCATTGAAGGACTAATTCCTCTCTTTCTTGCTCATCAAAGTGGTACACCAAAAAAAATGGAAGGGAAGATGGTTGTTCCATGGTAGTGGGTGAGGGGAAAAGATATAAGTGGAAGTAGTGGCTTCTTATTTCAACTCTTGGTGGTTCAAAGGAAAGAAGAAGAAGAAGATGAAGCTTTATGGTCTGCCTCACTCTTTCTCACATGGTCACTAGTTTTGAAGGATGATGAAGAAGAACATATGTGTCTTGGGGGAATGAACCCTGGAATGCAGAGGAAGTGGGGAAAGGAGGAGAGAGAAAAATGACTTTTGGTTTAAATATCTCCCATAAGTAATAGACTCTTTTACCCTTAATTTACTTCTCTTTTACAACTCAACCATTCCTTCAAACCAATTCACTTGTAACCTTAGGTTCATTGAGGTTTAGATAAAGTGTAATACACTTAATTTTGTTTAGGGTCCCACCACTTTGCATAATTGTACTTTTTTTGATAATTTTAATATTTGTACTTTTACCCCGAAAAGTGACTTAACTCAACATTTACTTTTTCATCTTATTAACCCTCTTATTTCACATTAACCCCTAATTAATATAAATTAATTATTCACGTTATTATAGATATCATAATTAAATAAATTAAAAATATCAAAGAGGAATATCCTATCGAGACCGATTAGGGAAAGTAGAGAAAAAGCAAAATAATAAAAATAACACTACTATGGGTTTTATTTTAAAATAAATAAAAAGCACAAGTTATTCTCACTTTAAATTCTCTTTTTGGAATGTTCCTTCCTTTTACCACTTTTCTTATTTATAGAGTTTCTTCGCTCTTAATTTCTCTTATTTCTCTTTTACTCCCTCGATAGAGTTTCCTAGCCTCAACCTTTTACAAATAACACTATGATCAACAATATGTGTTGGTTTTATTTCATATTTGAAATTCTCTATAACTAAATTAACTCATTATCTATGACTTCTGAAGAATAACAAATATATTTTCTGAATTGAGACTTGTGGAATATTTCATGAAGGATTGACAAATGAGGGAAAATGGCAATTCGATAGGCAACAAGTCAAACTTTTTCTTTTCAAAATTTGAATGGGTTAATGAACCTAGGGTTTAAATTTTTTGCTTTTATGGCTCTGCAATCCCAATTGTACAACTTACTTTCAGGAAAACATGTTCTTTTTCCTTTTAATTCTAGAGACTCTTATCCGAATAGCTATTTTGCCTATTTTAAAATTTTCACATCTTATTGTTAGGAATGTGGCTTCCATACTCAAGACGGAGGGTGAATTGAATATTTTTTTTTTTTGCAAATGCCCCCTTCTTATTTCTAAATTAGCATTTATACAAAATAAGACATAATAAAAATTAGTCAATACATTCAAGCAAACCATAATATACAATCTAATATAATGATATAATTTAAACTAGAACATATTAGATATTAGGGAAGCAATTGAAGTGTTAGAAATAAAAGGTAGGGTTGAGAAAAATGCAAACTCAATTTATCCTGATTCGATCACTATCACTTGTAACCTATGTCTAGACTACAAGCCAATCAACAATTCTTCACTATTAGTCAAGCTTAACGGGTGCTTGATAAATTGCTACAACCTTCAAGTTTTCATGTGCTTGACAACCTTACTACCTCTAAGTTTACAGGTACTTGATAACCTTACAATTATCTCCAAATTTCCTTAGGTATTTGGACACTTTTCAAACTCAGTAGGTCTTACAACCTTTTCAACTCAAATATATAAGAAAGAAGTGTTTGGAAATAAATAAATACTCTCAAAATATGGATATACAACTTGAAGGATCATAGGTGTATGAATTTTCACAATATGAGCTCAAATATGCACATGCGGACCCACTAGGGGGCTAGGGTGGGCTCCCGCCCCCCTAAAATTAAAAAAATTTATAATATGTGTAAAATGTGACGCTGAAACTACCTACCGTGTTATACACGTTTTTGCCTTCAGTAATCAGTTCCCCATGCTTCTGAGTTCTGCCTACAGCCTACACTCTTGCAGACTCTTAGAACGGCAACCAACCAGCGCAGGCAACTAGTTCATCCTTAAGAACATCCTTCTTTCCTTGTTTCGTTGTCCATCACCAACGGCAACCAGGCAAGTAATGAAAATGTTTTTTTTTTTGTAATATAAAATGGGTTTCTCTTAATTCCCCTCTCCATCATCATTTTCCTGACTTCACAAGTTTTCCCATCTCTTGCAGGCAGCATATATATTATATAACAAGACAAAAATAGCCCTATTTTTAGGCTCTAACTCAAGAATTTGTTTAGCTACCATTTGTGCGAGCTCCACAGGTATAATAGTATATTTGTAGATTCTTAGAATGAGAAGTTCCTTTAATTATTTAAATAATTCGATTTTCATGTGTCCCTCCAAGAGATGTATAAGGCATATCAAATGAGAGACTTTGACGTGTACGATCTCTAAGTTTTACTTTTAATTGTTGTTACCTGTACAAATACATGTGAAAAAGATTGTTACATGAAGATAATATATGCTTCATACTTTCCTAATTGTTGTATAAATTGTCAGCTTCTTTTCTAAGAGCACACATTTTATAATTATTTTTTGCAAGCTTATTTTCATCTTTGATGACATAATGCATATCCTTCCCTGTTAGAATGATCTGTTTCAATACAAAATTGCAAACCATAAATAATTCATAATTGTATATTTTCTATTTTCTTTGTAGTGATTATTATGGAGAAAAGTGCTACTATTGATACTTATTTTAAGAGAAAGAATAGTGAGTCTTTGTCCTCACCTACTCCTAATGTTGAATTATCAAATATTGAGACTCCTTCTCCAAAGTCTCCTAGAATTGAAAATAAAGAAGTGGTTAAAGAAGATGATCTTGCTTCATTGGAAAGAGATCCTGCACTACGCCCTCCAATATGGAAATTTCCTATAAATCAACAAGATGAAATTTGTCGTGCGTATCTTAAACTTGGTCCATTTCAGTGCAAGCTTCAAAATAATCGACGTCACTTTTGCTCTTCCTGGTTTGATTTGTTTCCATCTTGGTTAGAGTATTCTCTAACTAAAGATGCTGCATTTTGTTTGCCTTGTTATTTATTTAGTAAACCAGATGGCAATGGTCGTTTTGGACTTAGTACATTTGTTGTTGAGGGATTCAGAAATTGGAAAAAGGTTAATGATGGAGAAAATTGTGATTTTCTGCGCCATGTCGGAAAAAATGTTATCTCAATGCATAAAAATGTTGTGAGATCATGTAGTGATCTTATGAACTAATCTCAACATATTGAGATATTGGTTGAAAGACTTACTTCTCAGCAGATTGCAGCTAATCGTTTGAGACTACAAGTTTCTGTGGACGTGACAAGATGGCTTGCTTTGCAAGGATGTGCTTTTAGAGGTCATGATGAAAACTTAGATTCACTTAATCAGGGTGATTTTTTTGGAGATGATAAAGTTTTTAGCTTCCTATAATCAAGAAGTTGCATCGGTTGTTTTAAAAAAGCTCCTCAAAATGCTTCATATTGTTCCCCTCGAATTCAAAAGGAAATTCTTCATGTTTTCTCTCAAAAGGTAAAGGACACAATACGAGAAGAAATCTCCAATGCCAAGTTTTGTCTTATTGTTGATGAAGCTAGTGATGTATCTAAAAAAGAGCATATGGCTATTGTTTTGAGATTCGTAGATAAAGATGGTTTTATACGGAAAAGATTTTTCGGTCTTGTACATGTGGAAGATACAAGTGCTAAGACTTTGAAACAAGAACTATGCAACTCTCTTCGTCACCATAATCTTGTACATGTGTCCATATGCTTATTATGTCCATTGTTTAGCTCATTGCCTTCAACTTGCCTTGGTTGCTGCATCTCATGAGGTAAAACATGTTCATCAATTTTTTGAAAAATTGAACTTCATAATTAATATTGTTACTTCTTCTTGTAAGCGTAATGATGAGTTAAGGGTTGCCCAAACAAAGAAAATTGCAAGAATGATTGCTATTGATGAACTCGAATCAGGAGTTGGTCTTAATCAGGTTGGTACTTTGCATCGAGCTGGAGCTACTCGTTGGAGTTCTCATTACAATTCGATATGCAGTTTGTTTCAAATGTTTAAAGCCACATGTGGAGTTCTTGAAAATATTTCTAATGAAGGAAAGACAACATCACATCGTGGAGATGCAGATAATGCATACTTATCATTGACCTCTTTTGATTTTGTCATCATATTGCACCTTATGAAGGAACTTATGGGTATTACTGAAGTCCTTTGTCAAGCTTTGCAACTAAAGTCTCAAGATATTTCAAATTCTTTACATCTGGTTTCAACTACAAAAGAGTTACTTCAGAAATTAAGAGAGTCAGGTTGGGATGCTTTCTTAGTTCATGTTCAAGAATTTTGCAGAAAACATGACATTGACATTCCAGATATGAGTGCAAAATATATTGGAAGGAGAGGTCGTGCTCGAAATGAACAAAGTGATTTTTCTACTGAGAAATTTTACAGGGTAAATATCTTTTGTGCTACAATTGATTATCAATTACAAGAACTAAATAACAGGTTCAATGATAATATTGTTGAATTACTTACTTTGAGCATGGCTTTAGATCCAAGAAACAGGTACAAGTCATTTAATAGTGATGATATTTGCAAACTTGATGATAAATTTTATTCTAGAGATTTCACAGAACGGGAAAAATTACATTTGAAGATGGAGTTACAACATTTTGAGCTTGACATTCCTAAACATCCAGATTTGATTAATTTATCAACTACTTCTGAATTATGTTAAGGGCTAGCAAGACCTGGAAAGTCCATCATTTACCCTCTTATTGATAGAGTGATTAGACTTGTACTCACTCTTCCAGTATCTACAGCAACCACTGAAAGATCTTTCTCAACTATGAAGATAATCAAGACCAGGTTTCGAAATAGAATGGAAGACCAATTTCTTGATGATTCTTTGATTACATACATTGAAAAAGAAATTGTTTTGAGTTTTAGCACAGATTCAATTATAGATGAGTTTAACAATATGAAAACACGTAGAGCAAGAGTCAAGTGAAGTGATATTAATTTTTGTAATAGATTTCTTTCAATTTTTTGTATATGAAATTTGTATTGTATTTCAAGTATGTTTATTTATGATATAATATTTTTTTATTTTCGCCCCCTCTTATTAAAATTCCTGCGTCCGCCACTGCAAATATGTGTAATTTTTGAAAGATATGAAAGAATATGTAAATGATAGTGTAAAAGCTCTCAAATTATCCTTAAGATGAATAACAATGATGATCAAACTTGTTTAGAGCCAAAAGGAATGTATTTATATTGATTTTGCGCAAAACTAGCCGTTTATGACTGCTTATAGTCGTTGTAGTCTTACTGGCTAGTAATGATTCAAAACCTTGCTTCTTAGAACAAGAAATTCAAATCCTTTGGTGAGGGATTCAAATCCTCCCCTGACAGCAAGTGAAAAAACGTCGAAAATGCATTTTTTTGCACTATGTTTCACTTTCAAATGGTTCCTAACATTATAAGAACATATAATTGGCTCTTGGAAAAATGCTTATAAGGTTAAAACAAGATAAAAGCATGTTGAAATAATTTTTAACCTTATTGACTCTTATGAATGAATTTCCCAAATAGAAACTAATTTGATTCAAAAAACTATTTCATACACATTCTTGGCTCTTATAAAAAGGATTATCATTTAGCATATGTAGGTTTTTTTTCTTCCTTTTTTTAGAAATACAAGTCATGATGATTTGTATAAGAGTCATGCAATTTTGAAAGAGTATGCAATATTGAGCTCATGAAAGAAAACATCATCATACCCTTACATAAAGGTCTATGTCTAGAGACTAGATATCGTAAGAGCTTGAACTTGATCTTTATTTACCATGGCTTGTGTTGTGATATTTCTCTTGTAAGTTGTCCATGATTTTGTTTTCCTTCAATATAGCCTTGTTTCTCATGGTTTGGCTCTTCAAATCTTTTCATGATTATTGCCTAAATTTGATGCTTATTACTCTTAGATTGTCGTCTTAATGTTCTTGATTCATTGCTTTTGGTTTATTCTTCTTGCCTTGTCGTCATCAAGTCTCTTCTCTTTTTATTGTTGTCACCTTGTTATCATCAAAACATAACTTCTATCTACATTTTCCCTAATTATTTGAATTTTCTCGAGGTTTCTTGAATTATGTTTGGTCATAAAAAGATTTTTTCTCTTTCGCATACCAACATAAAAGGGGATATAAATTTCCTATCATAATATGGTGTCATTCTAATACTGGAATTTTAGTTATTATTATAAACAAACTCTATTAGTTGTAATAGTCTATCCAGACTCTATTAACATATTGTTCATTATGGTTCTTTCTATCTGTCCATTTGACTGTGGGTGGTATACAGTACTAAAAATCAACTTAGTTCCAAAAGCATGATGTAAGGTCTTTCAAAATCTTAATGTGAATCTAGAATCTCTATATACAACTATATTTACAAGTATGTCATGTAACCTGACCATTTCTTATATATTCACTCGACCTAGCTTGTCCAATGAGCATGTAGCTTTTATTGACAAGAAATGAGTTTATTTGATCAATCTATTCACAATAACCCATATTGCATAATTTCCTACTTGGGTCTTCAGTATTCTAATTACGAAATCCATAGACATATTTTCTCATTTCCATTCCGGAATTTTCGGAGGTTAGAGTAATCAAGTATGTTTTTTATGTTCAATCTTCGTCTTTTGACATATTAAACATTTGGCAATGTTTTGGGTTGAGACATGGCATCAAATCTACTTATCGTGGATGATTGGCACTTAGCCCATTGACGATGGTCTCCCCTACTTGGGGCTCCTCTGGTTGTCTAATAATGATATCAGAGCCTATGGTTGATTGACTTGGGCCGACTAAGTAATTGGTTAGATCGAGTATTTGAAAATGATGAAGCCAAGACTTTACCAGTCTTGGTTCGTAATCTTATGAATACTCAAAGAAGCTTCGACTTGAGGAAGAACATATGTTGGGTGAAGGGAAGGACATTAAGAATTCAAATGTGAGTGTTGAAATCTAATATTGGTTAGAAATTGACAGGTTGGTACCATATAAGTGATTGCGTTAAAATGTGGGTTCAGACTGACTTATTGTATTGGATTGTCTCTTAGTGAGTTAATAATAATTTCGCATACTTTGGGTCCATAGCCGTGTAATATAGGGGAGCTATGGGAAATCGAAAATGACGGTAACAACAATACCACAACAAAATTTATGTGATGACATCTTCAACACACTCTTGCAATCTCCATGCAATATAGCAAAAGAATGACAATATGTGCTCTAATACTTGAAGATAATTTGATAGAAAAGCAATGAAACAAAATAATGTTGATACATGAAGACAATGCTTTTTTTTCATAATATTTTGTAAAAAGCACATAAAAATGTGAAATTTTTCATTCTTCCTTACACTAGTCGAAGGTGTTGAGAATATTCCAACTAGAGGTGGCAAAGTGAGCCGCTCGTCCCGTCATCAACCGGCCTACAAATGAGCCAGCCAGCCCCGCCAGCCCGTCTATTTTTCTTTGAAAGTTTTTTTCCTTATTTTTCTTCCCCTTTTATTATTTAATTATAATTCTGGTAGGCTAATTTTCCCATCTTTGTCAATATCAGCTTCCTTGAGCAGAGGATCAATGGAGCCTCTCAAACCAGTATGCATTCTAAGTTCTTCCGGAGTAATACATCCATCCTTATTTATGTCAAATTTCTCAAAAGAAGCCTGTGACTGTTGCTAATGGCGGAGCCAATCCATTCATTGAGCTAAGGCTAACAAAAATTTAGGTGGGGCCTAATATTAAATCTTATCCAGAAATTTGCCATGGTTATTTAACCACGTTAAAAATATGGCTAATTTTCAAATTTTAGCCCGGGCCAAGGCCTCACTCTGCCCCTAAGTGGCTCCGCCACTAACATCTGTTGTTGTCACTTATGAGAGTCATGTTCCTCCAATTGGTGAACATGTAATGTAGTTGCCACGAACTCAGTGAAATCCGCTAGTCCATCTGTATTGCTTGCTTGCAATATCTCTAGTACGTGTTATTCTTTCAACTTCCAAGGAAGATCTTTAGCAAGAGCCTGTCTCATCTCTTTCAAGCTAATAGAATCATTTTTGTCCACTTCAATTGCATCAAATTAATCTTTCAAAAGTAAATTAAACAAAAAGGGCAGGCTGGCGAGTTGAAAACTTAGCCTGCCCTGCCCCGTTTGGGGCAGGTCAAATTTATTTTGTCACCTCTAATTCTAATGTGTTGGGAATGGTACGAGGGAGCTCAAAATCTTTGCAAATGATTTATTCACCAATGAGCCAAATGAGAAACCACAATAAATGAGCTAACACCACATCTTAACCCAAAACCTTAAGGTTGTAGATTTATAGGTCATTTACACTTATATTGTCCTCGATTGTTCTAAATCTAGCCTATGTGAGACTTACTTCATCACTATTCACTCACACTTAATTATAGGGGTGTGCACAAAAACTGGTTCACTTGCCCTGCCCTTGATCTGACCCATAAATACCTATTTTTTTGAACTGGTTTAAATACTGATCCACTTTTATTTGGGTCAGTTTTAGACCTGACTTGTTTTAATAATGACCCATTGACCCAAAACTTGACTCATACCCATTATGTGAAAAAACAAAATCACAATTACATTAAAAGAAAGTTTTAACGTAAAACAATTACGTCAAAATTTTTTACGAAAAATATTTTCATCAAAATTTGTGACTAAAAATATTTCTGTAAAAAAATTTGACGAAAATTTTTTTTGTCAAATTTTTTTACGAAATCTAAATTTCGTCAAAATATTTCACAAAAAAACATATTTATCAAAAAATTTGACAAAGCACATTTCTATAGAAATTTTTTGACGGAAAAAATTTCATCAAAATTCTTTACTGAATTCAAATTTCAGCGAAAGTTTTCGACGGAAACATTTTCGTAAAACTTTTTGACAAAAAAAAAATTTCGTCGAAATTTTTAGCGTAACACATTTCCATCTAAAATTTTCGACTAAATATTTTCGTCAAGTTTTTTGAAAAAAAATATTTTCATCAAAATTTTCAACGTAACACATTTCTGTCAAAAATTTTGACGGAAAAATATTCTGTCAAAAATTCTTTAGAGAATCTAAATTTCGTCGAAAGTTTCAAATAAAACATTTCCCTCAAAACAATTTGTGTCTAAACACATTCTCATCAAAATTTTGAACGAAAAATATTCTGTCAAAATTTTTGACTGAATTCTTTTTTCGTTTAAAACATTTGATGGAGAAAATCATTTTCGTCAAAACTTTTGACGAAAACTAAATTTCGATAGAAAATTTATTTTTATAAAAGTTTTCATTAGAGAAAAAATTTCGTCGCTTTTTGACAAAAAGTATTCTGACGAAAAAAAAAATTTGTGACAAAATTATTGTGGTTTGCAACGTAGAAGTTTCGATGAAATTTTGTGACGAAACCAAGTCAAAAACGGGTCAGGTCAGATTTGATCCACTTCAGAAATCAAGTAAGACCCACTTCAGAAACCAAATCAGGTCAGATCCGACGCGGTTCCGAACTAGTTCAAAAAAATCAAAATCAAGTCAGACCTGACTTGTTTCAAAATTAAAGAGGGTCGGATCAAAATAACTGACCTACAAAAACCAAGTTGGGTCGAGTCGACACAAAAATTTGACCCGACGTGACTCTACTTAATTATTTCTAACACAACGTTCTCCATCC